TCCTTTTGAGGAATCAGCTGATAGTCTTATGGGAATCCCTTTGTAGGTAACAGTCTCCTTTTCTCTTGCTGCTTTTAAGATTCTCTCTTTATCTTTGATCTTGGGTGATGTAATTATGATGTGCGTTGGTGTTTTCCTGGGTGGGTCCAACTTCTTTGGGACTCTCTGAGCTTCCTGGATCTCCTGGAAGTCTATTTCCTTTGCCAGATTGGGGAATTTCTCCATTATTTGTTTAAATAAGTTTTCAAATTTTTGCTCTTCTTCTTCTCTTTTGGGCATCCCCATGATTTGGATGCTGGAACATTTAAAGTTGTCCCAGAGGTTTCTAAGCCTGTCCTCATTTTTTTGAATTCTTGTTTCTTCATCCTGTTCTGGTTGAATGTTTATTTCTTCCTCCTCCAAATAGTTAATTTGAGTCCCAGTTTCCTTCCCTTTACTGTTAGTTCTCTGTATATTTTTCTTTATTTCACTTTCCACAGCCTTCACTCTTTCCTCTCTTTTGCAACCATACTCAACCATATCTGTGAGCACCCTAATTACCAGTGTTTTGAACTCTGTATCTGATAGGTTGTCTGTCTTCATTGCTTAGTTCTATTTTTTCTGGAGTTTTTATCTGTTCTTTCATTTCAGCCATATTCCTTTGTCTCAGAGGTCCTGTTACATTGTAAGGGATGGAGCCCTAGTATTTGCCAGGGCAGGGCAACCCCGGTTTTGCTGCATTTTGGCACTGCATGTGGGGGAGAGGTTAGAGAGGAAAGTATGCTGCTTGCTCAGTTCTCGTCCCACTTTCAGTCATTTCCCCCACTACCCACAAGCAAATTAGGCCCTCTGATGCTGATTCCCAGGTGAGTGGGTTTGTGTATGTTCTAGGACCCTGTTGGTCTCTCCATTTAACTCTCCTGTGAGTCTGGGAGTTTCTTCTGCCATCGCAACCCCCAGAGGTTTTATAGCCAGTGGTTTGGAGGCCTTGTTTTCCTGCACTAGAACCCTGGGTTGTACAGTCTATCTCTCTCCCTAGCTGTTCCTCCTGGTTTATCCGCATGCAAATGTGGGAACACCCAGTCCTCCAGCCACTGCCCTGCCATGCATCCTCTCCATTTCAGCTGCCTGTTGCTGCCACTCCTACTGGTCTGGATAAATGTTTCTCCTTTATCTTCTTGGTTGTCAGACTTCCATACAGTTTGATTTTCTGGCAGTTCTGGTTGTTGTTTTTAAAATTTGTTGCTGTCCTTCTATTAGTTGAGTGAGGAGGCAAACTGTATCTACCTATGCTTCTATCTTGGCCAGAAGCCCTTGAATTATGAAGCTTTTAGAGAAAAAAGTAGGAGAAAATCTTTGACACCCAACAAGATCCATATAAGAAAAAAATAAATAAACCAGACCTCATCAAAATTAAAAACTTTTGGTTTGAGAAATTGTTAGAAGTTCTGGATAAACAGGCAAGCTACAGACTGGGAGGATATATTTACAGATCACATATGTGACAAAGAATTAATTTCTAGAATACATAAAGGACTCTCAAAACTCAACATTTTAAAAAACCAACCTAATTAGAAAATAATCAAAAGGCATAAACATTTCATTCACCAAAGATGATATATAGCAAATAAGTATATGAAAAGATGTTCAACCAAATTAGACAGTAGGGAAATACAGATTAAAACCACAACAAAATATTACTATACAACTATTGGAACAGATAAAATTTTTAAAGGTTGACAAACCAAATGCTGGTATAATGTGGGGAAAGTATCTCTCATAATTACTGACTGAGTAGTACAACCACTTTGGAAAGAGTTGGCAGCCTTCTTAACAACACACTGAACATATACTTTTAACATACCACCTAGCAATTGCATTCCTGGGCATTTATCCCAGAGAAATGAAAACTTATGTTCACAAAGAAACCTCTGAACAGTTGTTCACAGCTTTATTTGTAATAGCTCCAAACTAGAAAATACTCAAATGTGTTTTAATTGGTGAATGGCTAAAGTGCAGTACATCCATACCATGAAATACTACTCTTCAATAAAAAGAAACAAACTATTGGTACATGCAACAACTTGGATAAACTTCAAAGAAATAATACCAAGTAAAAAAATGCCAATCTCAAAAACTCATATATGATATTATAGAATTTATATAAACAGTCTCTAAATGAGAAAACTGTATAAATGAAAAACAGACTAGTGGTCACTAGGGATTAAGGATGTTGAAAGGTAGGAGTCTGTATGACTGTAAAGGGGCAGCATAGGGAGAGCTTCATGGTGATAAACAGTTCTGTATTTTGATTGTGGTAGTGCTTACACAAATCTACACAAGTGGTAAAATTACATAGAATTATTCATATGTCATGTATTAATGTCAAAATTCCTGGATTTGATATCATAGTATAATTTTATAAGATGTAACCATTGGGGGAAATGAGGGGAAATATGGGGTTTGTCTATACTACCTTTGCAGCTTTCTGTGGACCTATCATTATTTCAGGAAAAAATATATATATATCAATCGTCAAAAAAAAGAGAAGTTGAAATAGACAATATTAGATAAACCAAGAAAATCTGTAACCAACAGACCCTCACTACAAGAAATGTTTAAAAGAAATTCTTTAGGGAAAAACACCAGATGCAGCCTCAAATCTTACATGAAGGTAAGATTTACTTACATATAAATATTAAATATGTGGATTTTAAAATGCTATTTTTCTACTCCGTTTATTTAAAAAACAAATGACTTTTTAAAGTAAAAATTATAATGCTGGATTTTAAGATTTATAACATATATAAAAATGAAATATATTAAAAACAATGACACTAAGGACAGGAATGGGAGATAAGTAGAGATATGTTGTAACAAGGTTCTTATATTTTACAGTAGTACAAAGTTAACTTTTAGCAAACTGTGACAAGTTAACGATATAATCACTAAAGCAATCACTGAAAATATAATGCAAAAAGTTATATCTATGCCTATTGTAAATTAAATGGAAAAATAAAGATGAAATTAAATAACATACTAAAAAATATTCAGTTTACCCTAAAAGAAGTCGGGAAAGGAGAAACAGAGTATAAAGAAAAAGATGGGACAAATAGAAAACAAAAATTAAAATGTTAGGCCTAAATCTAACTATATGAATTATTACACTAAATGTGGGGGAATCAAACGCTATAATTATGAGACAGAGATCATGAGACTGGGTTTAAAATGGCAGTATTTAAATATAGAGACTACAGAGAGTTTGAGAGTAAAAGACTATAAACATGCATGCAGTATAAAAACTAAGCATAACAAAGCTGTGGTAATTATAGTAACATCAGACAAAGTAAATGTCAAAATACCAGCTGAGGTAAAGATGGACATTTCAAAATTAATCAAAATTATTAAACTTTGTCAGTTCATCAGAAAGATACGATAATTGCAATCTGTATGCAATTTAAAGCTTCCAACTAAACTGACAGAACTAAAGGGAGAAATAGACACATCCACTAGACAAAAAAATATTTAGTGATTTTTATCATAGTATCAACACAATCTTGGCCCAATCGACATTTCCAAATATATGTTAAAAAATGCAGAATACACATTCTTTTCAAGTGTGTTTAAAATGTTCATCAAGAAATAGGCTGGGCTGTAAAGCAAATTTCAGTAAATTTCCAAAGATTAAAATCTTATGTTCTCTGACCTCAATAGAATTAAATTAGAAATCCAACAAAAATAAGATAGCCTTAAAAGTCCCAAAATATTTGGAAGTTAAACAACACATTTCTTAAAAAACACGAATCAAAGAAAAAAGTTACAAGAGAAAAAAATATTTTTGAACATCATAATGAAAGCACTACACATCAAGATTTGTGGGATTCAGCTAAGTAATGCTTGAGGAAATATAACTTCAAGTGACTACACTAGAAGAGAAAAAAAGGCTTAAAATCAATTATCTACATTTCTCTTAAAAGCTAGAAAAAGAAATTCAAATTAACCTCAAAGTAAGAAGGAAATAAATAATAAAGATCAAAGCAGATATCAATGAAATAGAAAACAAAAAAAATAGAAGAAAAACCAACAAACCCAAAATTTGGTTCTTTGAAAGGAGTTTTGACACATCCCTAATAAGACTTGTCTACAAAAAGTGAAAGAAACATGAATTATCAATATCAGCAGTGAAAAATGGACATTACTACAGATTCCACAGGCTTAAAAAAAAGTTAATGGAATATTATGAACAACATTTTGCCAATATATTTTTAAAAACACTGATGAAATTAACAAACACCTTGAAAAACACACGTTTTCCAAAGTGGCAAGATGAAACAAAACATCTGAATAGCTCTATGTCTATTACAGAAATTGAATTTCTTATCAAACTTCTACAAACAAAACCCTAGGCTCATAAGTTTCACTGCTGAGTTTTATCAAACATTTACAGAAGAAATAGTACCAATCATATATCTATAACAACATCAGAACATAGAGGAGGAGGAATAAATATTTCCAAACATTTTATAAAGCCAACATAAATCCATAATCCTCACACATTGCCATACTCACTATTGGAGGGCAGTATTCATGGGAGTTGAGAACACTCAAACCAATGCATTCAGAGAAAAACTGGACTACAACATACGGAAGGCAGGCCACAACAGGAAAATGGCACACTCTTCCTGAAACTACACATGGCTATTGTTTCCATCAATGACCTCCAAAAAGGGTTGGCACATCCCAGGGGATAAATACAAATAACTTCTATTTCATTGTTCAAAAGAGAAAGAATGAAATTTAACCTTACTAATGTTTAATATGTGGATTAACAAATGTGTATTTATAAAATATACACACATTGGGGTGCAAACATTTTTTTCCAATAAGGAAGTAAGGTCGAAACAAGCTCAGGGACCCATCATTTTTGAGGGACCTACAGAATTAACACAGCCTTCTCAGAGGCTAACAGGCAGCATGCTGGTTGGGTCTCCCAGCCAGCATTGTTCTGTGAGTACTCTTACCTTCACAGTGTGGAAATCCAAGTTGTGACAAAATCTGTTTCAAGGTCAATTTGTTGCTCTTTAGCCCATGCAGTTGGAGCCATTGCTCAGATGAGATGAGACTCTGCTTGGCCACGTCTGTTTTGGTGTTGTTCAGTCCCTCTTGCCTTCGAAGCTGCTGCTCAGAGATGGTAGAAGATGAGCCTGATATCTCCATCTCTGAGTTAGGAAGTAAGTCACCTGGACCTCCTATAAGGGGAATTGTCAAACTCAGACTTCCTAAAAACTTGGTAACAATCTAACATCAACAGAAGATTGGTTTAATATAAATTACAGTGCAATCCATGAAGTGGAATTCTATCTACAAGTTAAAAATTATAATACAGATGAGTATTTGTTGGCAAAGATAATATCCATATATATTGCTAAAAGGTATCCATAAAATTGAACATCCATAGGTAGATATCCATATACACATAGAAAAACATTTAGAAAGATATGCTCCAAGAGGTTCACAGTAGTTTTCTATGTGTGGTGGGAACAGGTGGGACTTTTGCCTTTTCTATGTTGCTTGAATTTTTGCGTTATTTAAACATTTCTAAAACAGGATTTATTTTTATAATCCAAAAAATACAAAGCTTTTCCATTTTGGAAAATAGTCACTCCTGAAACTTCATTGCACATCAGTATTCCAATTACAATCACATGCTTCTAAAGAGGATAAAGAGGATAAAATTTCTAGAGGACACACACACGCCTGTATGTGGAGTGGCCAGGCCTTGGGATGAGCTTTTTATAGGTGCTACCTCATAAATTCTTCATAACCATATCATTTACATACTATTAACACCCCACTTACATATGAGGAGTCAGAAGCTTTAAGAAGGTAAAGTTGTTCAGGCTCACAGCCAGTAAGTGGCAGAAGCAGTAGTCAAAGCTATTTCTTAACCACTCTGCTACTATTATAACTGACCAGCTCCAGCCTGGTCCTATGGTACAGGCCTACCAACGGCATGCACTCTAGGATAACCGCTTTCCCTTAGGACTCCTGGGTTCTCAATGAAAACAGAGCAATAACCTTTATTCTCAGAGCTCGGGCTCAATAAGCTTCCTGGTTTGTCATTTTCATTTTTAAGAATGATTTCCATTTTACAGTTTATGTGAATTTGCATTGCCCAATCAAATATTGAATTCCAAAGGTACACAAATACACATTATCGGTGAAGATCTTACTTTCCTCCTACACGGGCTCAATTTGATGAGAACAATAGTATTTGGACGGCATCATATGAGAGTGGGAAAGCTGAGCATGAAAACTCTATGTAGGTTCATTCCACCACATTAGGTGACTTCCTTCTTTGCAGTGGTAATGCCACCTGTGTTCCCTAACTCCCAGGGCTTGTACAAGGAGCAAATATAGCAATGCAGGAATTCTGCATGGATGAGCACTTAAAATATTGGAAAGAGCAATATACAAACAAATTACTTAAAATCATTTTCCTTTAGTAACTGTGCTTTGTTTCATGTACCCATTTTTATTCCAAGCATCTTTTTATCCCCAAGCCCCAGACATATTGAGCTAGAAATTTTGATTCCTCCTTCTACTTTAGAACCAAAGAGCATGAAAAGGGCAGATTGTGTATGTTTCAGTTTTCTTTTTGAGATCAGTCCAACAAAGACTGATATTTACATTTGGCCAATGGTTCCTATAGAAACAAAAGGAAGCCAGAACAGAGATTTTTGACTATTTCATCATTTCCAGTTATTCTTTCTCTTCCTCAAAACACACTCACCCACTTTCTGTTTTCTTACTAGAGGGAACTGCATACCCTAGGGTAAAAAAGGAAACACAGCTTCATAAACTATCCTAAGTCCCCTAAACTTAAAAGAGATTTCAGAAGAGTCATAGATTTTGTTTTTAAGCCAAAGGGACACATTTTTGGTTCCAAACAAGACACCTGAATCCTCCAGCTAAGGTATGTGCTGCAGTCTCCTTTGGACTTATATGACTTAAAAAAAATTAAAAGTAAAAAAAAAAAAGTCTGGTTAGTGCTAGTGTATGGAGAACCTGTATGAGTCATTCTGACTCTGATCTTGACTCTTAGGGTTTTTTAGCATGAGAACACCCACATCATGGGAAATGAAAGCAACTGGAAAATTAAACTTGTCCAGAGAAGACAGGAAGGAAATGAGAAAAGTCATCTCCAACAGAAGGGATCCTTCTACTCAAACGGGAAAAGAGCTATTGTGTCAAGGCAAGTAAGCCTGCCACAGCAATGTGGCCAGGTGACCTGACAAGCAACCCCTCCATACATAGTGCTCCTGCTTTCCCACCTCCAAGGTGGTCTCCTGTGGTTCTCCTGTGTGGAATTTCAGCTTTCAAGGCCAATTTCAAACCCTGACTCCTCTATTAAGCCTCTCCAGAACCCCTCACCAAACTTCTACGGCCTCGCCCTAGGAAAAGCCTAGCTTTTGCTGTGACACTACACCAATGTGGCCTTCACCTCTTTAGGTTTGTTCTCTCTAGTCTGAAAGAAGTTTCAATGACTACAGGGACAAACTCTATGGATGTCTTCAGCACAGTACCTTATATACAGTAGGCATTTTGCATGGGTGCTGAAGTTGACCTAAATTGATTACTCAGAATTGCACAATTACAAAAAAATTTTAAATAAAATAAGATAAAAACATCAAAATTGATGAATTTCTGTGCAACCATTTTAATATTGAAGATGGAAGAAAATACTCAACATTATCAGCATATTATGCTTTACTATTTCAAGAAAGGTGAAAACAAAACTGAAATGCAAAAAGTTTTGTGCTGTGTATGGAGAAGGTGCTGTGATTGACTGAGTATGTCAAAAGTGGTTTGTGAAGTTTCTTGGTACTACTGACATTTTGGCCAAATAATTCTTTGCTGTGGGGCTGTCTTATGCATTAGAAGATATTTAGCAGCACCCCTGGCCTCTACCTGCTAGAAGGCAATAGTGGGAGACAGCTGACATACTCAAAATATCCAAATCAATAAAGTTATTGGTGAAAATGTAAAAAAAAAAAAAGAATTGCTGAGAACCCTGATTTTTTGAACAAGGCAAAGATTCACTTTTCTAATAAGGCTATGATCAGGAAATAGATGTCTGTTTAAACAGAGACATATTATTTTCTGGATATTACTGTTCTTATTATTTTTACTAATAATTTTCAGGATTTTTTCATCTGAGGTTATTACAAATTGGGGAAAGAGGAACCAGAAGAAAGAAACAATAAATCCCAGGTGAGCACTGCCCTAAGTGCTATCCCAAAGGTCAAAGGTTAGGGAAATAGGAAGAGATTTCCTTAACAGAAAGAGGAAGGGGGGAGAAAAAAGAAGAGAAAGGGAAGTCAAAGTCTGATGAAAGCAGGGACCAGAAGTCAGGATTTGGGGAAAAATAGAAAGATTAATCTGGCACAAATTCAAAGGCTCCAGCCAAAGGGATAGGATGGGACTCCATGTACAGCCAAACTGTGCTGCTGGGGTCTGCCCATGCGGGGCAGCCAAGAGGTGTGTCCCCTGGCTGTCCTGAGAGTAAGACCTATGTGGACAGAGGTTGAGGCACAATGCATAGCTCAAAGTCTATCAATTCATCTTAAACACTTCCTACACTTCTAACTGCTTTATTGCCAACACCCAAGACTTCCTATAACCTTGTTAGTTTCTTTAAAAAAAAATAAAAACAACTCTGGGCTAGGTGGACATACTTTGTGATTTATGTGAGTTTTGAATTATTATTATTTCAAAAAGAAAGAAAGCTAGAATGAGGCCCATGGGTACGCTGCTGTAACATCCCCCACCCCATTCTTCTGCCCTTGAGGGGCAGGGTTAGGCTGAGCTCATCTACACAAATAACGAGGGCAGAGACAGGGAGAGTGAAATGGGCTGTTCCACGGTTAAGAAAATAGAGCCAAGAAAAAAGAAAATCTGAGGACAAATGGGGGGCTTTAGCTATTGCTGAGGGGACAAAAACAAAACAAAAATAAGAGCTCCCAAGAAGATGAAAGGAAAACTTCCAAGTGGCAACTGAATATAAATATTATGCCCATATAAAAAGAGCAAGAGAAAATCGGGCACATAGTGATGTGCTTGTGAAAACCATTCATGTGTGGAGGAATGGGAGGGAGCCAGCGGCCTTTCCAGGCCAGGAAATTGTAGAAAGCTTTACCCAAACAGATGGCTCTGGGGTTTAGACTATTTATGTTGTGATTATTTCTCAGAAATAAACTTCTCCTGGTGCTTCTATTAACTCTAAAGCACAAACAGCCCTCGCCTTCCTACTGCTGGCCTCTGACACAGCCGGGAGCTAGGAAGCCAGCTCTCCCTGCCTGAGCCTTGCCTGCAGACAAGGCGTGGTCGAAAGGGGCTCTCTGGGGCGGGCCGGCCCGGGTACCTTGTTTCCCGCCCAGACCCGAGGACCCAACAGTTCAGCGAGTCGGGTCAAGTTGCTGAGCTTTTCTGGGCCAGTTTCCACAACTGCAAACCGGGGCAGTCCTGCTCGAAAACTCTATTTCCAAGATTGCCCTCAGCGCCTCGGAGGGTAGGCCGTGGAGGGGAAGGTGTCCCGCACTTACTGGGCTTCTGCCAGGTGTAAAACAGGTGGGTCCTGCTCAGCAGCCTCCCTCCCAGCCTCTGCTGGCCTTCATTCCCGAGAAGGCCAGGGAGGAACGAATCCCTCCGGGTGATAAGCAGCGCTGCCCGCGCGCCAAGAGTCCACGCGCGACACCGAGGCCTTCAGCCGTTCGATTTCCCTTGTGACCCGAGAACTGGTCGCTGTGCCAGTTGACTACCGAGGGACCGCGGTTGCTTGGAGAGCGCCAATCACCTCACGGCTCCTCAATTCGACCCCCCTTTCGCAGCGCTCGCCCTAAGGGGGCGGGACCAGGGACGAGATCTCCGATACTGGGCGGGGTTCCAAGGCGGGTTCGGGGTGGAGTCACTCGACCTGGAAGCGAAGTAAGGTCCCCAAAGTAGCGGACAGGGAGAGCGGTCCTGGCCTCTGAACCTGCTGTCACTGGGAAAGTCGACTACGGTGGCGAACATTAATTAATTAAATGAACAAACAGACGAGGCCGGGTAAGGGGAGCGGGCGCGAGCCGATCCTGGAGGAAAAAAGCTTCAAAGACGGGGAGGCCTGCACATTATAGAAAACGTTAGCATTAACTTCTGTACTCACTTTTCAGTTTGCAGAGTACTTACTTTAATTTTCACGTCAACGCTGTGAAGAGAAGTTTTCTTTATTTTACAGTTGAAGAAAAGAAGCTGAAAGAGCTGGGGCAAGGGCACGTCACTCTACCAAAATGAGGCTGGATCTGAGACAGGAGGCACCTTGAGCTACAGTTTTGCAGCCTTGCAATTTTGGAGGCAGGGGCTGCAGTTATCAAAAATACTCCTTTCTATTAGACGAGAATTCCTATAGGCATTATTTTCTTCATTCAGCTTTATTTTTAACCCTTATATTATCTTTTCCTTATCAAGTGAACAAAGAGCTCGAAATATATGCTTGTGATATTTCAGTCACTGGTAAAGAAAATTGTTCTTATGAAAAGCTTCTTTAAATCCTTAAGATCCTACAGGCAAGTACCGTTTTTAGTATATTGGGATAATAAATTGTATTTTACATTTCAAAACTAAAGAAGTGACCAGATTAGTAGCTCTGCCTAGAGTGCTCAGTGGATTGAGTGCTGGGGCTGCGGACCACGGGGTCACTGGTTGGATTCCCAGCCAGAGCACATGCTGGGATTTCGGGCCAGGTCCCCAGTAGGGGGCCCAGGAGCGGCAACCAAACATTGATGTTTCCTTTTTCTCCCTCCCTTCCCCTCTCTCTGAACATAAATAAATAAAGTCTTTAATTTAAAAAGTGACCAGATTATTTCTAGGGTTTTGAGTCAAAGACCTAATAAAACATAGTTAATATTGAAGCTGATAATTCTGTCCCCCATGAGGATTTATTTTTCCTGCATTCTTTTATCACCTTTATAACTAAAAAGTACTGAATGCTTTGACCTCAGGTCACAAATCATTCCATAAAGTTATTTGATTGTGTACCATTGGCCCTGTAAATTATAGTTATCAACCTCATTACAAAAAAACCAAAAAACAAAAAAAAAACCCAAAAAGCAACAACTCAATAGTACTCAAGATTCTATTCAGAAGAAAGGTAATATAGTAGTCATGACTACATGAGCTGCCAAGGCCACATTAATCCCTGCTGTCCACACCCTGCCAGGTTAACATTTCTGTCACATGGGTGTCTTAGAACACAGAGCATCTACACAGCCATACCCCAGCCTCCGCAGTCACACCAGGCACTCCCATCCCCACCTTCACCCCACACATTCTTCCTTCCCTGGGACATTGCCACTTACGCAAGTAACAGCAGATGACTTAATGTTTCTGTCATTTATGTTTATGTGCCTATAAGCATAAGTTCCTATGACAATGTTAACCACTAATTACTTAAACTGTAGATAGGTAATTGAGCAGAAGTCTAGGTCATTTTGAAGTGTTCAGAGCTGATACAGACGAGTTCAGCTAGCTGGAGGATGATTCACCTCATTTTTGTTTGTTGAGTGGTTTAGAATAAGAATACCTTTAGCATAGTTGTGTAATGTACCACTGTACTGAACTTTAACAAATTTGTTTTGAATTTACATTTAAGAGGTAATTTGTATCCTACCCTCAACCTCAGAACTGATATTTCTCATATCAGACTCATCCGTAAAGTAATGTCTAATCTGAGTTTACCATTCAGGGCTCAGATTATACTTTCATTCTCTGCCCACTGCCCACAACTCAAACCCTGCAGCCAAGAGACTGACCTTGTCTCTGCCTCTGACCACATATGCCTTTACTCAGACCACCGCCTTCACCTGAGTTACCAGAGCTTGGGAGCAACAGCTCCTGAGGTCTTTCAGGATCAGCTCAAGCTCTCCTCTTTTCACAAAGCCTTCCACGGACACTCTGGCTCCAACAATTTCTCTCTCCCTGTCCAGACCCAGCATCAGTTGTCAGTACCACAGTCTTGGCAACCTTGTATAGCCTTGTAACAGCCCTTACATTGCTATTGGACCTTTGTGCTGTTTACAGGTTGAATGGTTTTTCTTTAAATAAGTCTACCACTGGTACTAATCGGCCTTATGATCATGACTAGAATCTTAAGGGGTGAGAGATAAGGGGGTGATAAATGAAATAAAAGGAGGAAAAGCAATTATCCTAAGCCCACTACAAAAACTGGAACCAGAGAATAGAATGTTCATTCAATGGAATTATGTATATGTATGAGAAATAGTTGGAGACAAAAATAACAAAGAAGTATTCCTTCTGAAGAGGAAGGAACAAGAAAAGTGGGGAAATGGAGCAACTAAATCAGGCAGCAGTCACTGGGGAACCTTGGTTGGCACTGTTGGCCCAGGGTGTTTGGTTGTCAGGGGCTGCCTGAGAGAGGGGGTTGGGATTTGGGGATGGCATGTTCTTCAGTTCATGTTCCTGTATATATTGTCATGTTCTTCAGTTCAGTATTTATTACTTGGAGAGTGAATGCTGGCCTGTGACTCTCAATCTAACACCTTTTGTGAGGAATGGAGCTTTTAGGTTTAATTGTTTTACCCTTGGCAATGCAGTGATGATCAATACTTAAAAATAATAGCTAAAATTTATTCAGTGCCAGACAATGTTCTGAACACTTTAAATATATCACTTCATTCAATCCTTATGAAAGCTCCATGAGGGAAATACTGTGATTTCCCCTTTTACAGATAAACTGAAATACAAGGGTAAGCAATTTCTCCAACACCACTCAGCTAGTAAATGGTGGCTGCGGAATTTGAACCCTGCTGCATCACCCTGCCCTCTTAATTACATGCTGTGTTGATCAATTGTTGGTTTTAGTTTTCTCCAAAAGAATTTTTTTGTCATTTCAGTTGTACAGTGTTCATTTAGAACTGGATATTAATGCTACGATGAAAACCTTGCTGGATTTGACACCTCACATTTCAATTTTAATGGCATAAAGTAGGTTGATTTTCTAATTACTGTTCTCTCCCACTTCCTGTTAACCAACACCTTTGCAATGTGGTATGCTTCTAAATGAACTGGATGCCTTAATGTCTACTATCATATCCCAATAGCTAAATTAAGAAGAACTGAACAAAAATATTTTATTTAAACAAAAGGGCCTGAACACTTGGATATCTAAAATTGCTTTTCAAATTAGATAACTTATACTATAAGCTGCCAAAAACAATACCCCTGGGATGAGATTTTCATCATATGGAAAAGATATTCAGGAATGAGCCTGGATCTTGCCTTGGCCTGGTTATGCTCTTCCTGTGGTTCCTGAAGAGAGGAGTATGCACATCTGACAATGGCAGCGACCGTAGACATTTCCTTATTTTAGGTCCTAACCCTACTGCAACCAAATAGGGGCAACCCAGTAGGGGCATAGGACTTAGGCACAAGGCTAGGGCCTCTTTGTCCTCTTTTAAGTGCAGAAATTTCTACCAACTCTTGCACAGCTGGGAGGGGCACATGTGCGGCACTGCTCCTGTGCGAGGAAGAGAGAGAAGAGGCTCTGCCCACCAGAGGAGGTACACTCTGGTTTGGCTGCCCTCTTTTCCCCTTCGAGAAACATCTAAGCACCACAGGAGAACCACACCCAGATGGATGTCTTCACACTCGTAAACTCATCACCATCAACATCCTGGAATCTGACCAATTAGGTCAGTATTTCCATGTCTTAAGAAGTGAAGAAAATAATAACATTAGAGGCGTTAGGACATTCTCATTGATTAATCTTATTATAAAAATCCTAGGAAAAATACAGCAAATTGAATTTAACAGAATACATTTTAAATCATTGTTTTAAAATCTGGAAAAGCATATAAGTTTCTGCCACGAAATTCCACTTCCAAGTTTCCTTGAGAATACACAAGTGTGTTTCTGTAATAGCAAAATAACGGAAATCATCTGAATGTTATCATTGTGATATGATACAATTTAAAGAAATAAATTTACTTCTTATATGCTGGAAAGATCTCCAAGGTATAGTGTTGAGTTTTTTAATAACATACAATATAGTGCATTTTATGTTAATACACATACAATTATATTGATGCATTCATATGTTTGCTTCCAGTCATAGCCCATTAGCCAGGCAAGTCACATGACTCTTCCTAATAACTAGGAGATGGAGAAATATGGGGAGCACAGAATAACCCCTGGGTAGTGGAAATTTCTCTCTGCCATACAAGGCTTAGGCTTTTCAACAGCCAGAAAGAGTTGCACACACGCTGTACTTCCCACTGTGTTATATGCTCATTCATCACCTGAGGAAATGAGGTGGAGAACAGGTTGCCTGGTAGAATGTGGTGGCAAGGGCATGTGAAAACTACAGAAAGCTGGAAAAATACACATACACACATGTGCACAGTCCAGCTTCATTTGAAACTATATACTAAGATGTACTTACTCAAATAGAAATGCTGCCACAAAGACAGGGTTTACAAAATTATATGCCAAGAGCTTTTATAAAATGTTGATATAATAATGGTTGCTTGAAAATTATTTTCTAATCAAAGAATTAGCAAGATTCTTGAATCATTAACCAATAGTGGAAAAAGACTTGTTTTTTTAAAAGAGTTTTAAGATTTTAATTTCTGAATCTCTTCACATACCCAATTCAGGCTATGAAATACAAAAGTAACATTTACTTAAATACAATTAACACCTAAAGTTTAGGTAGTTTTATTGATTTGCAATAAACATACTTGTAAGAGAATTTATACATTTTTAAATTCTTTTTAAACTATAGTACTCTGGAAAGAAATTTTCCTAAGCATTCTACATTATA